CAAACAACCATAAGCACGTCCACTTGATGTCATTTTTTAAATACCGAGCGGACGCTTGAATTCTATAGCGAATGGCGCGTGTGAGGACTCTCGCTATGCAATGCAAGTGCCCTACAAGATTATTCCAATGTGTACGTCTGTACACGGCGCGGTACGGGCGTGCACACATACAAGCTGCGATGACATATTTGTATGGAGTTACCATACTTCGTCTTATTCTACTATGATAATTATGACCTCTGCCTGAATGCTGTTGATGCCCGATATCTGCCCTTTAGTAGACTTCATAGTATACAACTATCATTAATCATTTTCTTCACCACTTGTCGGTACCGCATTCCTTTTAAATTTGTATCGAGGTATAAGTAGCTGAATGTAGTATTCACCTGCCTCAATGGGGTTTGGGGGACAAAACATCGTCGAAGGTTGTTTTATAAACACTCTCCAAAGGTTTTATCGCGATGTTTTCTAATACCTTCACGTATAATTCGAAAAGACGTAGTTGTACAGTTGAACTCGGAACTCGTGCAGTCAAAAAATCAAAATCAAAAATATCCTATGTAAACAAATTCCACTTGAAATCGTCGCTTAAACAATACTAAGTACTAACTCATAAGGCGGATTTGTCTGAAAAGAATGGGATTAGGAAACTCTAAGCGTTACTCTTTGTAATAGACATTTGTACAAATTTATTATTTACAATATTGATTTCAAATATCAGAAATACAACCAACCTCAAAAAGTTAAACAGGTCACTACTTTTAGTGTAAAGTTTAAATGTAAAACTCGCTGAAGTCGCGGTTTCTACGTCTAAAAGTAAAAAGTTCTTATTATTTTAATCACGTACGCTGCAGAGGCATTTCGACAACTTAGTTACTTGTGGACAATTTTGCAATTTTTCATCTTAACTCATGCTTGAAGTTTAAATCCATGGCACCCGCGACACAGGGTTTCGCTAGTGCGGGGCTATGTTGAGTGTGTGTGTGTTGTTATTTGCTTTCTTGTCATTAAGAAGCAGATTGTTAACTGCAAACCAATCCTTTGAAATCATTACGGCCTTCTCCTTCAATGGAGAATAAAAGTGCAAAAAAAGAGCAATTAGTGCTCCCTAGGAAGGACAGTTCTCTTTTGGGGCTTTCCCAATTACCCCATTCAAATTTGTATAACGCGGTGGATAAATCAACCAAGAATAACTTTTAGATTTATTTCGAGCATATTTTTTTTATCGTTTCGTAAAACCGCAGCTGGTATAGACTTTTTTTATCACGTGGCGAGGTATAATCCTATGCTTTCTATATCCAACCACTTCCAACAAAATTTCTCCCCAAAAGTTAGTCGACAAAGTGCCTGGGTACAAGAAGTGTGTAGGAGCAATGACGTCAATTGTTGACGTGACAAATGACCACGCTTCATCACAGTTGCGTGAAACGCCTTACGTTACTTTGCTGAACGTGTTGATTTTTGCAAGAAATTCTGCACCACAGAATTGCAACTGAAGAAAGTCGCACTACAAAATCTCAGCATACATGAGAAAACTACAATGTTTTTTTCCACCAAACTCAGATGAAGAAGGAGGAGATGACCTCGATGAGTGAAAGACGATTTAGTCGATTGCACAATATTAACAATAAGTAGCTAGTTTACAAAGGACTACTAAACTAGGACGACTAAAGGATTAGTACCGTAATCGATTTCTATAATAGTTGCTTTTTATTTTATTATTCTTTTATATAATACTTGTGTGGCATAAATTAATTGGTGCAAATCAAGAGCCCCCGCATACTTACTGTGCCACTGAGCGAGCTTCATGCCACTACTTAGGGCATTGGTAAACTTAAAAAATATTCTTTTGCATTATGTGATTTGTGTAATTTTCTATATTGTTTATTTGTTCCATTAGGTTAAATTTTCAACTGAGAAATTTGACACATGTTAGAAATGCGAGTCTTCAAGATAAGGATTGTTAATAGAAATGATATTAACTCAGGGTTCTGCTCACAATACGCAAAAAAGAGTAAATTACGAACGTCGAACAATCCACGACTCCTGAGGAAGCCTCGTAGAGAGGCGAAACACGTGTCTGGTATATTATTGGCAGTGGTGTTTGTGACAATGATTGCTATAATGTGTTATTTATTTTATGAATTTTACGCGGGTGGGACAATTGGAAAGCTGCACCTTATATCTTGAAGTATTTACCAATTAAAAAAAACTCGTTTTTTCAAATTTGCGCCACCAAAATCGAACATGAAACGTCCCCCAAACTGCCTGCTTCCCGGCGCCACCGAGGCTTTTATATTTGGCATTCCTCACAAGAGCACTCTGACTATGGGTTCATTATCGCAACGCCAGTCCTCGGAGGACTCTTTTGTTATCGACACAATTGTGTTCCTGAGGGGGAGGGGGAGTGTTAACGTTTGTAACAGGTGTGCATTATAACAAGCAGCTTTTGTGTTTTTTTGCTGAATCTCGAATGAGTAATGCGGTATAAAAAGAATTTGAGAAGTTTCTGATAGCAGAGTGAGAAAATAACGAATACTAATAAAGCTACAAGATAAAAAGCAAATTGCAACGACGAAGCAAACCGAAATTGCCAACGAAAATGTCTAACTCGAAACAGACCATCAAGAGAGCAACCAACATAATGTTACGGTCATAATTCGCACCTCGTAACAAGGTTTTTACTTGGGCGTATTTTCGGCACATAATATATCCTTAGTAAATAACGTGAACTGCCTAATGGCTATACTTACTGTTCATGTTATCGTGTCTTAATTTTTTCATCGTAAAGGCGTTCCACAGGGTGCTGTTTTGGGACTATTGGTTTATATTTTGGCTTACTTTTCTTATTGTTTACTAAAACTGTAAACATTTACACAAAGCATGAATTCACATGTGGTAAAGGGTATTACAAAGTGTTAATGCTCATTTTACAGTAAACAACGTTACGTCCTTCATGATTACAATGTTTACTGCTAGTATTGTCGTTATGACGTCATTTTCACGTCGTAAGAGTACCACAAGGTGCGATTTTAAGCCCATCTTACAATTTACTTTAGAGTGTTCTTATAAAATGTCGTATATAATAATGAAAAATGATTTGCCGTCAACGACTTTTGGCCTTTAATATAATTCTATCATCTATCAACACGTGAGTTCCACAAGGAGCGATATCGAACCCAATTTTTTTTGTTTGTCGCCTATGAGTTTTTTGTCACTTCTCTGAAAAGACGGTCGCAATCTTTGTAAACAGTCATCATAGTCCCATTAAATAGCGTCAAAAAAACTTTCAGTAGCCACAATTATGCTGTATTGCCATATTTTGACATATCAATTCCACTCAAAAAGATAACAATGTGACTATAGATGCTAGGCAACGTGTTATAGGTTTTAACCACAGCAACAAACTTCACTATCCCGAATTATCAAACAATAAACTACGCGAACAAGGTTTTAATTAACACAGTTCGGGGTGTTTCAGGCGATGCTGTTTACTTTGAAAATGAGCCAAGCAGTGTTAACGATTTTCGAAAATCTGAATTCTATAAGTACACTAAAGAAAATTTTAATAGCTATTGAAACTTGTAGACTACATATAATATTGGACCTAAAATAACTCCTTGTAGAACTACTCCAGTTTCTTTGGCAAATGTTGGACGATATAGTTACTTGTTTTGTAATAGTAGAGCTGATGAATCAGAAGAAGGGCCCCCTTCTTCCGATTCATCAGTTCTACTCGATTGTACTTAAGATCGTAACCTTTATCACGAACAAGCCACTTGCAGTTTTTACGGAAACAAAATTCTTTACATAGTATAAAATCAAAGTCAAAGTGAAAGAATCATTTATTCCATAGGAAAAATAAATTTACACTTAAAAACGTCATTTCTAAGCTACTGCTCGTTCATTACGCTGACATCCCTGAGATAAACGAGCAAGGAACTCTAAGAATTGCTCCTTTCAAATAACCTTAAATGCTATGTAATACACTTTGAATCAAATTTGTGTGGAATCTGGAGCCATGTCGTCTTTTCATAATCTTTATCTAATACGTAGTCTTCAATTTTGTAATATGACATTTCAATCAAAATATTTTTAATGTAGTTTTTATACTTAAGAAATGATAATCTTATTATATGCTCCGGAATCTTATTGTAAAAACGTCTACAGTTCCCCACAAAAGAGTCGTTTACCTTGGGTAAACAAAATCGTGCTACCATGAGTTTGGACTTAGCTCTAATGTTAATATTATGGATATCTTCTTTCTTAATGAAATTATGTATATTTTTACGGGCATATAAAGTATTTGAGTAAATGTACTGTTATGCCACAGTCATGTTACCAGTCTCCTTAAACTTTTCTCTGAGAGAAACCCGAGAGCCTAAACGGTATAAAGAACGAATCGCTCGTTTTTACAATACAAACTACGATCCAGATTGTCATGAATCATGGTGTCATAAACGATTCCTTTTTGTCAAAATTTTAAATTACGTCCATTAATGCCACACGGGACGATATGATATTGTCATCCAAGCTATTGTAAGTTGAACAAACGCAAGATTTGAATTTCAAAAAGTTACTTCAGACATCGATGTCCATTCCAAATGATTATTTACTAAATTATTTGACACTTCCAAAACTCTATCTCTTTTAAACTAAAAGAGAGTAAAAGCGAGAACAATATTTTTTTATTGTAAAAAAACCAACACCACTTGTAAAGCTAAAGGTCCATTATTACAGTTCATGCAAATTATAATATAAAAATTCAAATTTCATAATAAAATTCATGCAAATTATTATGTTTATAATATATTTATTTTAAATATATTTGAATAAGCGGAGTTAAATGTAAATCATAGTGTTATATTTAGTAGCACTACACCTGCTATGGATACGCGTGTCGCTTACCACCAGTCGCGCGGATCGAGTCACTTGATATCATAAAACTGAAAGAAATTGAAGTTTCTCTTATATTAATCTAAGTCCTTTCTTCTTTCCAGGAGTTAGCAGCATCAACGCCCACGCAACGAAACTGGCGCGGTATCCTAATCGCCCTGCTGGTCATTGCAGCAGTCCTGGGTCTGATTGTGTTCAGCATCGCCCTGCTCACACCGGGGGGAGAGGGGGGCAAAGTCAGGGGGAGGAGACCGACCTTGCAGACTCTGCTCGGATTAGGGTACAAGCCCTTCAATGGCACTTGGCTTACAGGTAAGTCTTGCGCTCGATTTTCTTAAATCCATTTCATAACTAAAGTTAAAATGTTTTATTTGTCTGAATAAAAAAAAAAAAAATATTTCTCAATTTGGTTCAACAATGGTAGATCAGGTCCTCCCTTTAAGCAAATGTATGCTTGTGTTGGGAAAACCTTGTAACTAAGCTTAAAACTGAGAATTTACAACAAAGTTACATCAGTGGGTTAGTAATAACTTATTACAATAAAATTTATTTGTAAAGTTTATTACTAATAAGATATAATGATATTTAAAATTTAAAATGGAAAAATTAAAAATGAAAAAAAAAATTAATAAAAATTCAAAATAAAATGAAAAATGTTCAGTATGTAATGTGTATAAAGTTGTGTGTGTGTGTGTGTGTGAGAGAGAGAGAGAGAGAGAGAGAGAGAGAGAGAGAGAGAGAGAGAGAATGTGTGTGAGTGTGAGTGCGCGCATGTGCGTGCGTGCGTGCTTGCGTGTGTGTGTGTGTGTGTGCGTGTGTGTGTGTGAGCGTGTGTGCGTACCTGCGCGAGTATGCATGTTATGTATTTAAATGATTTGTAGTGTTGTTAATTAAGGTATGCGTTCTAAGAGATTTTCCACTTCCTCATAAGAAAGGGTTTTCAACCATTCACTATATATATATATACATAAATAAGAAACGTTAAACATAACATAAGTAGTTAAATAGTGCCACCTTGCCTATTTCTGCCGCCAAGCAGTAATATCAGCATTACTGTATTCCGGTTTTGAAGGGTTAAGGGTGCTGGTGAAATTACAGGCACATGGGACTTATGTCTCAGGGTGACAGGCGCAATGGCAGTGCCCCTCAGATCTTTGCGATTTAAAGCTCTGAGTGCCACTGCAAGTGTTATGTATGAACAGGCGTGTAGCTTACCATCAGGTGCACGACTTGTTTTTCCCGTCACTTTTATACGTTTGTTTGGTTACACAAAGGTCCCACCATGCCGCCTCTTCATATATTTAGACGAAAATCAAACAAACGCCATAAACAAAAAACAAAAGAGATAGAATAGAAGTGGCCAAGCACCGCTTACATTTTAAACAATATTTTTTAATAAAGGTTTATGGCCCGGTTGCAAGATCTTTATGCCAATTTAACAAATCAAGAGAGTAGAACATTTGAGTAGCATCATGTTTGATATTTTAATTTGATTAGCAAAAATACGACGGTCTTTTTTTTAAACTTTTCTGTTAGTAACGAGTACCATAGATAATACAATTTAGGTTCAGAACTAAAGAGAGAGCCCTTGTGATATGGTTATGAAACTATAATAAACAAACACGAAGTTATTTGTATTTATATGTAATAGTTATCTTACTATCACTGTAAGTATGCTGGTGAAATTACAGGCACATGGGACTTGTCAACTTATGTCTCAATGTGACGGGCGCAGACGTAGTACCCCACAGATCTTTGCAATTTAAAGCTGTAAGTGGCACTGTAACTGTTATGGACAGGTTGCCATCAGACGCACGACTTGTTCGCCCCGTCCCTTGATCCTATAAATAAAACACACTGTAACTATGCTTATATTGTTACGTGTCAACTTTCTACAATCAGTGTTTTCACGTGAGTTATGAATTATGATTTCCCCTAGCCACGATCGTTATAACGTCATGACTGGCCATAAGCAGATTGTAATCTGTCAAAGCAAGTATTATATGAACTTTGACGGTGTTCAGGTGGGCTGACAGGGGTGGCTAAAGGTGATGGAGACTTTGTTTACAATTACGCTAAATTGAGATAGCCACTAAGTATCTTACGTATGAGTGGAAAGCTTAGAACTCGTGACGTGGTAAATTTTACCCACTGAAAGACTTTAGAGGTTTTACTGTCGCAATTAAAAAGGTATAAAAACTTTTACCAGCGATGCAAACGCGATGCACGTTTTAAATTAATTAACTAATTTATTTATTAAAAGTATTTATTGTATGTTAATTTAACTTTTCAATTTACAATTAACAAAACAAAATATTGTGCATAAACATATTATACAGATTTTTCGCACATAATTATTCAACTTATGCGACGGTATCTGTGTAATATCAACATTTATTTATTAACAGATTGTACCTAATGCCATAGTATAAACAACAAGTCTTACTTAAGGCGAAATATTTAAACGCAAGCCAAGATTTTAGGACGTGAGGTGTGGGGAACCGCCCATCGCGTCCTGCAATCCGCGCGTTTGAAATTAAGTACAGGTGGACAAAAATGGATACAGATCCAACGTTGACAAGCGCCCAATGAGCCATCATGACTGAAGGCAATTGTAATTTTTAAGTTTATCGAATGTTTGACCACCATGATATTCAATTATTTTTTGTGAAATTACTCCATGGCATTGTTATAATTATTAATACAAAGATCGAACAGTTAGAAAGAAATCCCTTCGGTCCGGTTGGATTCGACCCAACGCTTCTTCATTCAGCCAGGTACCTTTACAGCTATCTCAGCTGACTAGAGATGTCGTTTTAATAATAGCGCTACGGCAAAAAAGTCGTTAAAAACCAGAAAACAAAGATCTGCAACAAGCATATAGAACAATCCATAAGGTTTGCTAGTTCGTAAGGCTTAGTTGGCATAGTGTCTGTCACAATTTGCTGAAATACGTTGATTCGAATCCAGCTGGATCGTTAGGTTCAAGTTTTGGGATAAGTGTGAATTTAATGACTATGGGGCTCCAGTTAAAAACTAAAATTTAGCAGGTTCCCTCTAGTACTTAAATGGAAATATCTCCATATAAAAATTATAAGCAAAGTTAGTCGTTTTATTCTTAAATAATTTGTTTTAGTCTTGTATTTTAGTTTTTTTTCAGGATTCTATATGATCAGATTGAGTACATTCTATCGAGTAACAAATTAGCTGATCTTTAGACAATATCCTTAGGTGTATCGTATATTTTTTGTAAGATTCATTTTTCATTGTTATTATTACGGTAAGGCGGAGTCCATAAAGCCGTTTTTACGAATTCGTTCAATGGGCAACAGAATACGTCCACGAAACTGGTAATAGCATTTAGGTTACACAACGTTTGGGTAAAGGACGTTATTTAAACGTTGTGGGCAAAGTTTGAGACCAGGCAATTGGTGTGATTATCCGGCACGTTATGATTATGATTACTATATAAGGACGGCCAAATGCAACTCCCTTCCATTTCTCCAGTCGGTAAAAACCACTATGAGCAAAATATTTTTAAACTTTGCTTTTTAAATAAACCTCCTAAGTATATTTGAATCCGTGATATTAAATAGTCTAAATATTTGATGTGTCCTTGTCAATTTTCCATTTTGCCTTAATACCTCTCTGTGTTAAACTCAGCTTTTAACATCTATCGACCTTGTGAAGGCTGGTTGGTTTGTGTAAACTGTTCGTCGTACGTAAACTTAACTACCAAGTTTTGAACCCATATAAGCCACTAATTCGACGGATATGTTTTAGGGAGAGTGTTAAGACCTAACAATCAAGAAACGGGTCATTTATGGTAAGATGAAAAAGTCCCAGATTCGATTCCCGATAGGTCCCATTTGGGAATCAACTTTCCTGAATTAGTTGTAGTCTCAGGATTTTGAATAGTATCTCGAAATTTATTTAGTCGTTCTGGTGGTAGTACAGGGATGACATATTTTGAGACCAGGTAAGTTGGTGCGGTTATCTGGCACATTGTCGTTATTATTTATGGAATCTATTTCAGATTCTCGCCTCTCCTCGAATCTTCTAGAATTTTTAAATGGGAGACGCTGTGTTCCCTAGCAATGGCACGGTCGGCCGGGCTCAGGAACTCAGGTTTGAGAACCAGCGAACGATACATGCTTTTTCTTTTACTTTATTAAAGTTATATATTTTTTTAAATAATACCATGTGACGGTACGAACAAGTCGGGCACCTGGTGGTAAGCAATACGCCTATCCATGACTGTTCCAGTGCCATTCAGAGCTTTAAATCGCAAAGATCGTATGGGCACTGCAGTGGCACCTATCACCCTGAGACATAAGTTGACAAGTCCCATGTGCCTATAATTTCACCAGCACCCTTACCCTTCTAAACCGGAAAGCAGTAATGCTCACGTTACTGCTTGGCGGCAGAAATAGGTAAGGTGGCAGTACTTCCCTGGATGAACTGTTTTACAAGGAGATCTACTGGTACTAATTATGAAATTATGAATTAAGAAATTTACGAATCTGTACTCATAAAGTGTGGCATTTCACATATTTTCAAAAAGTTATGTGAACCTTCTTTGGTTTTCTTCATGCTTTCCTTTATGATATCATTCATGTAATGGAACAAAGAAGTCTTGCTGAAGGTGCTAATCGACTGGCCTGTCCATAACACTTGCCACTCAGAGCTTTAAAGCGCAAATATCTAAGGTGCACTGCTGTTGCGCCCGTCACCCTGAAACATAAAGTTGACAAGCCCCATGTGCCTGTATTTTCACCAGCACCTCTACTTTGCCGGCAGAAATAATGGTGGTAGTAGATCCCTGGAGCTCTAAATTACATCTGTTACTAAGTAACATTTTACGAGTGAAAGAAAATGCAAAATGGCCAAATATTTTCCCCAAGCGTTAGGTGTAAATGTTATGATAGAATTTTCTCGAAAGTGTCACGCAAACAGAATGACACGTGTGTTGTTTTCACACTAGAGGAACAAACAACCGTTAGATATGAGCCTTGATAGAATCCGGAGCGTGATAGCATCCTAACTACAATAGATTAGCCCAAAGGTTTGACTGCCTCTGTAGCCTAGCTATTAGCACTGTAGGCACTGGCTGTGGAAGGTAAATTTCGTTGTACTCGTAATTGCTGTGGTTATCTGGTAAAAAAAATGCGGCACTGGGCTTTGCGACCTATTATTTTGGGCCGTGTTATTACAAAGACATAGAATTTAATTCTTAAGTGTAAAGAAAGACCTGCTCTCGTCCGTACATTGTCAGGATTTTACAAACATGGTCTGTTAATGTCGTGCAACCA